TTAATTCTACTCTAATATAAACATGTCTTTTCCAAGCATAGCATAGATGGGGCGAATCGGTAGCTATAACAATTCACAAGTTAAAACTAAATTTAAGAAATAACCACGAGATGATAATTCGAATTGACGAAAATATAGTTAATAAACATCAATATTCATGTCAACCATAACCCTAGAAACTAGAGTGTTTAACCACTCATGTTTATAGTAACAATTATCCAAGTATTTTGCAAAAACAAATTACAAAGAAAGTATGAAGAGATGAAGAACTCCTTGATTTTTCCCTACAAAGTTGTTCAACACGGTGTTTTTGCCTCCAAATAATGTTCAACCCCTTGCTAAACACGTTTAGAAAGCATTTATAGGCTAGGGTCTGAGTCTCCAAGTCCAAAACCAGATAGGAAATGTTTTAACTTGCGGACTAGGGTCATTGGGTGCCTGACCTCGCGGGGCCAGGATTGGGGCGCACTTGGACCCTCGTGAGGCCAGACCTAGTGCGAGATGATGGTAGCCTTAAGCCAGACGTGGCGTGGCTTTCCAGTTTTCGTGCTCTTTTCTTGTAGTTTTGTCACCCTTTTGTGCAACCTTCGCTCGTTTTAAAACTCCAATGATCCTACACAAAAAATAACATAATTTAGCTCTAACGTCGTACATAATAATATCAAATCATCAAAATATAAGGTAAACAATGCATTAAAAATATAGAATTATAGGCACATCATTTAATTAATATAATCCGCTAACAATTTTGAATCCCTTTCAGGTAAACAGTTATTCATCCTGTCATTCTTGCACCAAGCCACCAATTTATACCAAATATAAGAGCCTGTGCTTCAGCCCAATTACTAGTTCCAGGTCCCAGTGGGAGGGTGTAAGAACAAATAAGGTGACCTTCGTTAATTCTAATCACTCCCCCTCCTCCACAATTGCCATTTTTACAACGTTCAAGAGAAATGATTTTCACAAAAAGTTCTACTCAACCAGAGTTATCTTTTTGTAAAAGATGGTGCATTTCATCAGGTGAGTAATACTGTCCAAAGTAGAATTCAACATGGTTGGCCAAACTGATGAGCCATCACTAACGAACTGAGTTACAGTGAAGGCTATATCGAAATGCAAACGAACAAATATCCGGATGTTGTCAGCTTCACTAGTTGCTATTATCATTATTTTTTTTTTAAATTTTCCACCTAGTATTCAATATTCATATTGGAGCCTCGATTAATTTGGATTCACAATACGTTAGGCCAATTTAAGGGGGAAGTACTCCTTAACATGATTTTTTCCATACTCAGATCTCGAACCAGAGATCTCTAATTAAGGGTGGAGAGATCCTATGTATCGTATCACAACGCTTATTGGTTACTACCATTATATCATATTTATTTGATATACTTTCTTTTTAGCTTGTCCCAAAAGTGATAATTTTTTCTGTTGTAAAATTATTTTAAAATTTTAATTTTTCTTATAATGATAATATTTTATAGTCATAAAAATATTTGACTTGTTTTAGATCCTAAGGGGTCGTTTGATTTCCAAAAGAGAGTTATACAAAGATTAAAAATTTTTGTATTATAATCCTGAGTTTGTTATTGAAAGTACAGGGGGGGATGAATTGTAAATATTTAAACTTAATCGCTTATTAGTTGACTAGTTAATCGAGTAGTCGACTAGATATAATAACCTAACAGTTATAACGACAGAAAGTAAGATGCAAAAAGTAAATGCAGGAATTAAAGACACCAGGATTTTATACTGGTTCAGATTTAATGTGAATCCTAGTCCAGTCCCCTTGGGTTGCAAGGGAGTTCTCTTTAGTAAATGTGTTTCTCCGAGTACAGTTGAAATGACTTGACAACACAGTTTCTCTAACACTTGTTTCTTTTTGATACAATGCATCATCAATGTTATACTATCTTTTTTTCTCTGACTTGTTACACAGTAGATTTTACTGAACTACAATATTTGTTTGCAGTAGAACAAAGAGAGGGATTTTTGGTTCGATCAAAGTATATCTGACTAGGATTTCAGGTAGGGTATAAATACTTTGATGAAGGTCGAGGCTTGACAACCCAAGAGATTTGTTCCTTGGAAAGAGATTGATTCTTTCCAAGAATAAGATAGTTAGCCGTTGCTTTTCCTTGATTTCCTTCTTTCAGTAGATGTATGTAATGAAGGCTTGCTCCTTGATTATTGGTTCTTCCAAAATTAGTCGTGTAACGATCTTCGATCTTCCGGGATACTGGCCTTGATTCATGCCTTAAGTTTGGGCTTGCTTGATTCTCTCCATCGCTGCTGGCCGCTGATTGATTTGCTGATTGAGCTCTTTCATTAGTTATCCAAATTTGCGAGTTCTTTCCTTGGGCATCAATATTTGCTAATTGAATTGTAATCTTTGCTGATTGATTTCTTTCCTTAGGCATCAAGATTGACTCCAGCGATCTTGTAGTATCTTCTTGATTCCTTGTAATTGATTTCCTGCATATGTATATTATTTGCATCATTAAAACTGGATCTAACAATCTCCTCCTTTTTGATGATGACAAAATAATGTATAAATGTAAAGACCAGTTGACATCCCTGTGTTTTACTCCCCCTCAGTGTATACAGTTGACTAGTCCATGATACTCCCCCTCAATATATGCAGTTGATTGGTCTATGGTAGTCTCCCCCTCAATAAATGCAGTTGACTATTCTTTGGTAGTGTATGGTAGAGTCAAGACTTCTGCCACAAACTGTACCTGTACAGATATAACATATACTCTTTCTCCCTCTTTTTGGCATCAGCAAAGAGGGAACAAGCCAAGAACTAAACAGAATATATAGCATTCAAACAGGAGAGTTATAGGAAGCATCCAATGGCTAAGAAAACAGCCCACAAAAACAACACAGCAAAAAAATTATCCAAAGGCTGAAAACATAGCCCAAAACCAGCAGAGCAAAAATTGTCTTAGAACAACCACACTAACGGCACAGAAAATAAGTAAGGGTGTTGCAGATGGTCCCCTTCAATTGTTCAAAGCTTGCATTAGCTGAGATGCTCACTCCATCCAACTTGTCATGAATCTCCCTGAAGGCTTTGACAACATTCTCCCTAACTCTGAGAACAACAACTCTAATTTTAGACACATCAGACCCTGTTTCCTTGGAAATGGCATGAATGTCACCAACAGTAGATTGAGTGGTTGTGAGAAGATTTTTTGATTTTAGAGAGTTGAGAGTTTATGGCACGATGCTTGTCACCAAGATCAGGATTGTCAAGACTGGGATGAGGGACAGAAGGTGAAGGTTTGGGGTCTATAGGGGCATGCTTTGCTTCACTATCGTGCTTCTTAACCCAAGAGCCCTTTACACTCACATATCCCATACTAGCAAAGGCTCTAGAATTGTAAGATTTAGAGACAGTGATGAAGGTATAGTTGGACGGGGAAATTTGATGAGCTTCCAGAATGTGAGTGATTGTCATGCCATAGGGTAGACTGGTGGGATCTTCAGCACTATCGATCATGAAATTGATAACCCATGAGGGAAGCTTGATTTTGAGTTTGGTCACGAGGCAATAGACGAAGAAGGTGTCTCTTTGAGAGAAGGTTGAAAAGGAACCAGTACGGGGAAGCAAAGTAGTTGCTACAATGTGGGCCAGAACTTAAGTTTTGAAACTGACATCATTGGAACCTAACTGGTTTGGAAGGGAATCAGAGGGACACTCAGCAATACACTGTTTGGCTTGGTCAAAGAAAATTTCAAAGTTATCGGGCCAGGTGTTTTTAAACAGCATAGGAAAACCAGAACAACGACACTGAAATAGCGAATCAAATAGGGCACAGTCAAGAATAATGCGCTTACCTAACACTAAAGATTCCAACCTATCAGGTTTACTAGAACGAAGATTTGTATAAAATATTTTTACCAGGGGTTCATAACCTTAGGCGGAAGAATAAAGAAGAACTTAACCCAACCTTGATGAACAAAAAGGTCTTTGACCTTGAAATTGAGGGCTTCCATGTCGTCAAGGTCGACAACCCTTCCATGAGCAATGGGCTTGTCTTTTAGAGCAATGAAAAAATCCCTATTTGGGGAATCCCAGAAATTGAGGTTAGATTCAAGAGAGGCAGAGAAATCAACCTTGGATTTCTTTGGGGTGGACAAAATAGGGGGTTCTTCCATGGGACGCTTTCCCAAAGCTTTTTCTCCTAAGAGTTGAGAGTGTTCAGAGAAATCTCCCCAAGAAGAGGCGAAACCCTCAGAGTGATCGGACCCTAGGTCTACTTGTTCAAGGGGTATAGAAGGGGGTTTTGCTTTGGAACGGGTGCTTTTTCTGGTAGAGGCGGAGGGATTTCTGGGATGTTTGGCCATTGTAGGGAAGGAGGTTGATCGTAGCTTTGGAGAGGAGATAAAGATGAAAGTGATTGAAAAGGGTTCTCCGCCTTAAGAAGAGGTTTTCTAATGGATGTGTACAGGAAAGGAAAAGTTGTCAGATGAAGGGACGTGATGATTGTCTTTCCAACTTTGAATGACGAACTGATGTGAAAGAAGAGAAAAGAGAGGGAAAAATGGAGGCGTAATCAATGCATGGGTAAAGGACAATCATTACAAAAAAAAATTAACAATACACATAGGTCCTAAGGGTTATTAGTAATGCAAGTAATACCAAGTTATTTTCTTAAATCACAGAATCTCTCTTCTAATAAAGGTTTATTAAAAATATCAGCTAACTGATCAGTGGTTCCAACAAAATATATTTCTATGTCTCCCTTAAGAACATGATCTCTAATAAAATGATGTTTGATATCTATATGCTTTGCTCTATAATGATGCACAGGATTTTAGGAAAGACAAATAGCACTAGAATTGTCACAAAAAATTTGTATAGGTTTAAATAAAAGTTCATAGTCACCCAGTTGATGAGACATCCATAGTAGTTGTGCACAGCATTGTCCAATAGCAATGTATTCAGCTTCAGTAGTAGACAATGCAACTGATGCTTGTTTTTTATTGTTCTAGGATATCAATGCCTTTCCCAGTAATTGACATGTGCCACTTGTGCTTTTTCTATAGTCCTTATCACCTGCAAGGTCAGCATCTGAAAAACCTTCTAATTTAAAAGACTTAGAGCGAAGATACCATAGTCCATGAGATACAGTCCCAATGAGATATCGAATGATTCTTTTTACGGTGGTCAAATGTGATTCCTTAGGAGCTGACTGAAACCTAGCACATTTACATATGCTGAACATAATATCCGATCGACTTGTTGTCAGATACAACAGTGATCTAATCATTCCACGATATTTAGTTTCATCAACAGGAATACCCTGTTCGTCTTTGTCTAGATTTGTAGAAGGGCTCATTGGTGTGCCAATGGATTTTGCATTGCTCATACCAAATTTTTGAATAAGCTTTTTTGTGTATTTGGTCTGACATATAAAGGTTCCTTCTTTAGATTGTTGAATTTGTAGTCCAAGGAAGAACGTTAGCTTACCCATCATACTCATTTCGAATTCACTTTGCATAAGATTTGAAAATTTCTTGCACATGAGAGGGTTAACACTACCAAATATAATATCATCAACATAAATTTGAATAATGAGGTTACCTCCCGATGATCTCTTAATGGACAAGGTAGTATCTATTTTACCTCTTGTGAAGCCATGATCAACAAGAAAGGAACTCAGTATATCATACCAAGCACGTGGAGCTTGCTTTAGCCCATACAGAGCCTTAGTGATCTTGTATACATGGTATGGGAATTTTGAATCTACAAATCCTGGAGGTTGTTTCACATATACTTATTTTTCGATAAATCCATTCAAAAACGCACTTTTAACATTTATTTGAAACAGCCTGAACCCTTTAAATGATGTGTGTTCCAGAAGAATTCATATATATTCCAAACAAGTTACTGGGGCAAAAGTTTCATCATAGTCTATTCCTTCATATTGTGAGTATCCCTGAGCAACTAGTCTAGGTTTATTTCTTACGACCTTTCCATCCTCGTGCAATTTATTTCTAAAAACCCACTTTGTTCTGATTACAGACACATTTTCAGGTTTGGGTATCAGATTCCACACTTGATTCTTACTGAACTGGTCTAACTCTTCCTGCATAGCTTGTACCCAGCTTGAATCTTTTAGTGCTTCCTCTATTTTTTTTGGCTCAATCTGAGAGATTAATGCAATATTTTATTTCTTTTTGAGAGCTCCCCTGGTTTTCATTCCTTCATTTGGATCCCCTATAATGAATTTTTGAGGATATTTAGGCTCGCTTCTCCATTCATTTGGACGTGCTACATTCGTAGTTGACTCGATTGGTTGATCTGGTACATTGCTGTTGTCTTCACCAGTTGACTCTGTCGCAGCAGATATATCAGTCGACTCTTGAGATTTGCTTGTCTCCTGAGTTTCTTGAGCTTGATCTTCATCACTTGCAGTAATTCCTTTCTCCTCTAAGGGATTATTTTCATCAAATATAACATGTACAGATTCCTCCACACATAATGTGCGTTTATTATAGACTCTAAAAAATCTACTATTTAATGAGTAGCCCAAAAAATACCTTTGTCACTTATTGGATCGAACTTTCCAAGATTATCCTTACCGTTATTGTGGATAAAACATTTACTTCCGAAGGGATGGAAGTAACTAATATTGGGACATTTACCTTTCCATAATTCATATGGAGTCTTCTTCAGAATAGGCTTTATGAGGCAATAGTTGAGAATGTGACATGTTGTACTTACACCTTCTGCCCAGAAGTGGTTTGGCAGTGAATGTTCTAGTAACATGGTTCTTGCCATATCTTGGAGGGTTCTGTTCTTTCTTTCTACAACCCCATTTTGTTGTGGTGAGCATAGTGCAGAGAAATTATGTGTGTATCCCTGACCATTACAAAAATCTTCAAATGCTCTGCTTTCAAATTCTCCTCCATGGTCACTCTGAATTGTTGAAATCAGATGTCCCTTTTCTCTTTCAACCTTTTTTGCAGAAAACTTCAAAATTTCTTAATGCTTCATCCTTATGAGATAAGAAAATTACCCAAGTGAAACGTGAATAATCATCAATAATAACAAATCATACTTCTTTTCTCCTATACTAGCAAGCCTAGTAGGCCCAAATAAATCCATATAAAGTAATTGCAAAGGATTTGAAGTAGATACTATATCTTTGTTTTTGAAAGAGTTTCTGGTATGCTTACCCATTTGACATGCATCACAAATATGAGTTCGAGAAAAATTCAGTGTGGGTAGACCAACAACTAACTCATGTTTGGACAATTTTTCTATCAAATATGCTAGCATGACCAAGTTTCCTATGCCACAACCATGGATCATCAGACATAGAGGATAGGCAAATATGACCATCTATCTTTTCAAAACTATCAAGGATATAAACATTTCCATACCTTTTTCCAGGAAGGACTATTTTACCTGATTCATCTTCAATAGCACATCCGGTTTTCTTAAAATTTACCTCATATCCTGAGTTGCAGAGTTGAATTATACTCAAGAGATCGTAGTTGAGGCCATCGACAAGATAAACTTCAGTGATGTCACAATTGTTATTTAAGGGAATTGTTCCAGTGCAAATTATTTTGCCTTTTGAATCATCCCCAAACATAACACTTCCTCCATCAATTTTTGTAACTTCTTTGAACAGGTTTTTGTCACCTGTCATATGACTGGAACACACACTGTCTAGATACCATTTTCCTTTGTGGCTTATTCTGTGGTGTTCCTGCAAAACATGATGATTACTTTCTTTTAGGTATCCAAGCTTGTCTGGGTCCTGTAGGGTTAGTATTACCAGGTTCAAAATTGCTTTTTGGTTTCCAAACCCATCCTGAAACGTTTGTTTTATGAAAATGACAAAAGGAATATTTATGCCCATTTTTGTTACAGTAATGACACATAACTTCTGACCTACTTTTAGGTCTTTCACTAGTGTTAGTACTAGTTGACTTGGTTCTGGCTGGTCCTTTTCCAGTTGACTTGTAAGTCATCTGGTTTGACCTAACAAAACTGTGACTAGTGGACTTGTGCTTGCCATTGAGTTGCATTTGCAATTCCTCAAACTCTTCTTGAAGTACTTCCTTTTCGATTTCACATACTTCATGTTTGAGTTTCCAGTTTTTAACTTCTTTAGTAAGTCTCTTAAGCTCATTCATCATTTTTTGAGACTCTTTCAAAGTTAAATCAAGAATATCCTGCAATTCATTGCATCTTTCACAGTTATAAGATCTTACCTCACTAGTTTCACCTCGTGCCATGAAACAGTTTTCATTTTCTTCATCTGAAGTGTTCTCGTTTGTCCAGCATCTTGAGGATTTGTTTATTTCGTTTTCTAGAATTGTCATGAAGCAGAGATTTGCTATCTCTTCGTGGTCTGAATTATCCTCATCGTTCCAGCTTCCAAAGGATTTGTTCTTATTGAAGCCTCTAGAGATCTTCCTCTTCAGTTCTGGGCACTCCGTTTGAATATGCCCAAATCTTCCACATTCATAGCACTTTCCATCATTTTTGTCCTGTTCGTTGTATTGCTTGGATCGTCTTGGTGGAATTCTTCCTTTCTTTGTGCTCATATATCTTCTCATCAATCCATCCATGTTTCTTGATAGCATAACAATCTTTTCTTGCAGAGCTTCAGGATCATCATCAATTTCGTTTTCAACTATTTCAGTAGAGGTTTTGAATGCGACTATTATCTTTTTTTCTTCTTGACTGGACTTCTTGAGATGCATCCTTTCAAAAGCAATGAGTTCTCCTCGTAGTTCATCATAGGATAATTTGTTTAGATCTTGAGATTCCAGTGTGACTACTTTGGTCTGCCAAGTGGTTTGGCAAACTCCTGAGAATTTTTCTAACTTGATCACCACTGGTGTAAGGCTTGCCAAATGCATTTAGATCGCTAATTATTTTGCTAAACCTGGCAAACATATCTTCAATAGATTTTCCTTCTTTCATTGAAAAAAGTTCGTAATCAAGGACCAGCATGTTGATATGTGTTTCCTTTACTTTGCCGGTTCCTTCATAAGTGACATCAAGCTTGTCTCACATTTCTTTAGCTGTGTTACAGCTTAAGATTTTCTCATATTCTTCACCACTAATAGCGTTATGGAGAAGATTTCTCGTTTTGTTGTTAACTTGTACCACTTCCATTTGCTCTTTTGTATATGAATCTATATCTTCAAGATCAGCAAGTGGTGGAGTGGCAGCAGCTAAGGGATAGTTTCTCTTTTTGATGACTCTCTAAACTTTGACGTCATAAGCTTTGGCAAATATCTCCATTCGTGCTTTCCAATGGGAGAAATATTGTCCATTGAAGTATGGTGGTCTAACTTGTGAAGTTCTTTCCTTAAAGAAAGCTCCTATGATAGCTTGATTTGCTATGATCTTTTCTCACAAACTGTTAGCAAAAGTAGAATTAGAGTCTTGCTCTGATACCAATTGAAAGTACAAGGGGAAGGGGGGTGAATTGTAAATATTTAAACTTAATCGCTTATTAGTTGACTAGTTAATCGAGTAGTCGACTAGATATAACCTAACAGTTATAATGACAGAAAGTAAGATGCAGAAAGTAAATGCAGGAATTAAAGTTACCAGAATTTTATACTGGTTCGGATTCAATGTGAATCTCAGTCCAGTCCCCTTGAGTTGCAAGGGAGTTCTCTTTGGTAAATGTGTTTCTCCGAGTGCAGTTGAAATGACTTGACAGCACAGTTTCTCTAACACTCGTTTCTTTTTGATACAATGCTTCACCAGTGTTATACTTTTTTTTTTCTCTGACTTGTTACACAGCAGATCTTAATGAACTACAATATTTATTTGCAGTAGAACAAAGAGAGGGATTTTTGGTTCGATCAAAGTATATCTGACTAAGGTTTAAGGCAGGGTATAAATACTTTGATGAAGGTTGAGGCTTGACAACCCAAGAGATTTGATCCTTGTAAAGAGATTGATTCTTTCTAAGAATAAGATAGCTAGTCGTTGCTTTTCCTTGATTTCCTTCTTTCAACAAATGTATGTAATGAAGGCTTGCTCCTTGATTGTTGGTTCTTCCGAAATTAGTCGCGTAACGATCTTCGATCTTCCGGGTGCTGGCCTTGATTCATGCCTTAAGTTTGGGCTTGCTTGATTCTCTCCATCGCTGCTGACCGCTGATTGATTTGCTGATTGAGCTCTTTCCTTAGTTATCCAGATTTGCGAGTTCTTTCCTTGGATATCCAGATTTGCTGATTGGATTATAATCTTTGCTGATTGATTTCTTTCCTTAGGCATCAAGATCGACTCTTGTGATCATGTAGTATCTTCTTAATTCCTTGTAATTGATTTCCTGCATATGTATATTATTTGTATCATTAAAATTGGATCTAATAGTTATCCCACATTCAAGCGGGTTACTTAATGCCATCAGACTTTAAGATTATTATGAAATTCTTTTCAATGGATGGGTGGATCAGTTAATTTGATATGGGTTAACAAAGTATATTTTTAGGCCAA